TCGGCGGCATGAGCTTCCATAATATAAATAGTGTTAAATTGAACACGATTACTAAATCGACCAGCCAGATCGATAAAGCGATCAATTTCATATCGAAATGGAGGTCAAGAATAGGATCCGAAGTTTAAGACATGAATTTTTTTGGCGCTTTGATTAAAAATGTTTTGTAAATCAGTTTGTTGCTGATCAAGTGTAAATAATCGTCCTTTAGGAGCTTGTTGTCCAACTTTAAGAAAGTTTACAGTAGCGAAAGGGAAGTTCTCGGCAAGATGAAGAAGATTTTTTTTATTAAATATACTCAATCTTAGAAAATGCCAAGTAGATATTTTTCGACCTTGCAGATTTTTCTCTCCTTCAGATCTCATCATTTCCGTGTAATAATGAGCGTTATAAGTGTCTGTAGGATAGTAGTACCCTAAAGTCAAAACATATTTGAGAAATCTAAGAAATCCATACATCATAAGATATATAGACCTAAGCCATCCATAGGTGGTTTCCTTTTTCTGGCAAGTTGTCATTGACTCAAAAACTTTAAGTAATGACGTAATTTATTTAGATATTGTAATAAGTTCTCGAAAAAATTTAGAGATAGCGTATTAGCAAAGCAGAGAACTTTATTAAGACTTATAAGTGCGAACTAATAAAATATGACAGCAACGCTCATATATATACAATCTATCATGGAATATTCTAGAACTTATTAGTAGTTGTTATACTATACATAGAATAAGTATTCTAGGTTCTACATGCATACGAGGTTTGAATACGTGCACATCTAAGACTGACCCTTACGAAGTCCTTCTACTAATACTATGACAGATATTATCAAAAGAAAATGGACGAACTTGAATAATGTTAGTCGTACTTATCATCAACACTCTACTAAAAGTATATTTGCATTGAATCTAACAGCCTTGGTCAACAGTATTTATCTTCGCTATAACGCTGGATCTACCTCCAGGCTACAGGAGTACCTTAGTTTATCATAATATAGGCGTATAGAATCAGATTTACCGTTGACGAAGATTTTTATAGCGTTATGTACGTATTTCGAGAAAATTATTATGAGCTAGCTAAAGTTTTTAAATATCACTAAATTACTTAAGGAGATTAATGGAGCTTTGGTTACATTATAATTATTTTCTCATTTATTATTTACTTCACTGCCGAACGGTGTACGACCTTCGGTTATACTCGTATAATTAATTAGCGGAGAAAAAATCTCCGTAGTTGTGCCATATAGAGATGTAAGATCAAAAATCTTTATCTCGTTGTCATTGTATAGCGCCGCAGGAAATAAATAACAAATGCGAGCTGTAGTAAATAATCAATTACTTTATGGATAATAATCGCCATTGGCATCATTCATGATCATGACAAGGTGCACAATAAGATAGCATCATAATTATATTAATTAGCCGGTGGTACTCCGCCATTGTAAGCTAGCATGATTGGACGTTATTGAAAAGCAAGAAAGTAAGTCTATACAAAATTGAATTGATTCTATGAAATAACATCAGCGATTTTGATAATAGTAGTAATATAATCGTATTTCCTTCTTTCTATAAAAGTCTATGAACATTGTACAATGGTCGATTAAGTAAAAAGAGATTTTAAATCTTTTGTTTTAGTTTGTTTACGACGTGATTTACAACTACTGTACATAGAAAAAACATAACGGTGCATGTCGCCATCCCTGATTTCATAAAAACATTCTCTTGTATATCGCATACTCGGGATTCTACCGGGTAACTGTCTATTGCATAAGATCGGGCATGTAATTGGAGGATTTAGTCTATCGACATTATTAACGGTATTTCATTCACACTCCAGACATTTTTGTGCTGCTACCACATACTGCTGCAGTAATTCAATAATCTTGTGGCAGTATTGTACACTTCTATTCTAGACAGATTAGATTAAAATAATATTAATTTGAACAAATAAATAATGTAGAGTAGATAGTCTACTGGTCGAGTTGGAGTATACCGTTCCATCCATCGAAACAGCTACAGTAGAATCCAACAGAGTGATCGATTGAAATAAGTTGGACTGGGCCCTGAAATTTTTATAAAAACGCTATGAGGATTTCATTACTTTTGGTTCTGCAGTTCCTGGTAAGCCGCGCATATCCTATCTAAGTTGAAATTGAATTGGGTTGAATTTTATTTGTTTATTTAATATCAAGCGTCGAAACATAGATCAGTATCGTCTAGTTTAAAGCTGCCAGTTTTAAATAATAATTCAATCTCTAGCAAACCATACAAGCGATTGATAACAGAAATAAAAATACTAGAGAAAGAATCTATAGTTAACACAGGATTCAGTTGGATAAGCATTTTATTTTGGTTGACTGCACACGATCACGGATACTTTTCAAATTCCTGTAGTAATGGCAGTCCAACACGGAAATCAAATAAACCATGGTTGGTTTTGGTCGACTTACCTTACAGTATACGGGCTAGTAAGGTTGATACTGTACTTTGGCAGAGGATTATATCATTATCCAGCTATTACTAAAAAAGCCCTTATAAAATTAATGGATGAAATGTTATCTGAGGCAAGCAGCAATACTGAGCAAGGTAAGCTGAGTATGTGGCAATTTTTGAGACAAAATTTCTTAAACCAACAAGCACTTATTCATATCGCTGAGAAAGAAGAAACAACTTTTGGTAAAATTAACTTTTTAAAAGTAGGCCAACAGGCGCCCATCGGACGGCTATATGCTCTCAATGGTGAGGAAACAAACTTACAAAAAATTTTTACGCAGAGTACCAAGAATATTCATGTACTCAATTTTGGCTCCTACACCTGACCCCCGTTTCGATACGCAATTGATCGCTATGTTAATCTTGCCAATCGACTAGGTGATCGAGTGCAATTTATTACAGTCTATATTCTAGAGGCGCATGCATCTGATGGTTGGGCAATGCCGTCAGTCAATTCAGGTCTCGATACTTGCTTATTACAACCGAAAAAAACGGGAGCAAGGATACAAATTGCTAAAGAATTCGTTGATCGTTTCGATTACAAATTGCCATTTTTTGTCGATACTATGGAAGGTGATACCATGAAGGCCTATGGCGCTCAACCTGAAAGATTGTATGTGGTTAAAGATGGGAAAATTGCTTATGAAGGTGGACCAGGTCCATTCTGCTATAGTATAGACGATTTAGAACAATTTTTAGAGAAGTTGATCGCCAACAAGTAATTGCTATCTCGACCGTTACATTTAACTTGGATCATATCATTTCTTCTCATTAGCTAGTCTGGAATTGAATCCACAGAAAATATGGCACAAAGTATAAGCCTTCGTCTTAGTACACTTTGTAATGGTTATCTTGATTAAATTCCCTGTTTCAAACACACTCTGCATTGAATACCTGTTCTAACTACTTCTAATAAATTAATATTCATCGTGACTGAAATTTAGACGGTTGCTATAATGTGTATCTGTTATAAAGGCCGTGAAATTTTTTATCGCAACACTTCGATACGATGCCCCTTTTTTGCCGACCTTAAGTTATCCCCCATTTCGATAAAGTCTAAATTCGTACGTTATAAATTTAAGAATGCGCTAGCTAATCTACTTTACTGTTTATCAGCTAGATATTGATAGCAATAATAATATTTAAACTATTCTAGGCGGTTTACTTAACCATTGATGGTGCATTAACAGTTGCAATCGCGCAACAACGTTGTATTGCACTCTGTTTTTCTACTATGAAAATTACTATTAGACGTATTTGTATTTATCTCTTATGATAAGTAATATATTAGTAGTAATGGAAATATGATCGATTGCTACAATAATAGTTAAGGCTTATTGTTGCTGTTTATATAAGTAGAATTGCATGAAGTTATAGCTTGAGACCAATCTATTTGGATAGTAATAACTGAGGAAAAATTCTATTTGCTTATAAATTATGCAATGTAAGTGCTTTTCTGTGATGTATCAGGATAAAAGATATTAAAATAATAAAAGGCAAGAAACTAAATTTTTAATCCCTTAATCTTAAAACTTATGGCTGGATAACCTAATAATCATTGTAGGTGCTGTTTAGAGATTAGCTGCGTCGTTCTACGTATTTTGCTATGGAATGGAAATCTTTCCTATTAGATCGGAGTAACAAATTGACATTTGATGGGACACTGGTATGAATGTAGGCAATTTTTCAACATAACCCCTTATGTGTAAATTTTATACAGTGCAAAATAAATCCAAGAATCAAAATTTTGAACTTTATGCACATATACGAACATCTTTACGACCTAGATTACTAGATTCTACAAGATTATAACGTTCGTTCTGCAACGATGTAGTTAGAATTGCTCAGTTAAATTCTTTAGCAATTCGATTTTAACTCAAGGTTAACCAATTCAAGATTTTTGCAAATTTAATCATAGATACGTATGAAGAACGATAGAACTACATATTTGTTTAATACAGAGGAAAAGCTCGCGTAGCATGTTGAAGTATCGTATGATAACATTAGAGAATAAATAATAGCCTTGGAAAGCCAGAGATACAGGTGAGATTAAGCTGACTTCATAAATTATCTGAAAGGCTATTAGCTTAAATAACTTATACAACGAAGCTGATGTTAATGCGATAGCTGTACTATTTTAGTTGTGTTGTTAAATATTTACCTTATCAAAGAATTACTGTTTATTTAACAAAATTTTAAATTAAATTTGATTACCAGTAGAAAAAAGCTGTGCAAAGTCGTGTTCTCGTTAATAATTATACCCTGTTTATTATATAATTTTCAATGACATCCTAATATCAATAAACATCGCCTGTAATTATGAAAATATAGCTAATCCGCGTTATTAGTCAGTTTTTTCTGCCTTCGAACTAGGGCTGAGACATTTTCGGCGTTGACGAAACATGTGACCGTATAATTGAGGAAAGACTAAAGGTACGTTTAAAGAGTATAAGCATTAGTATATTAAGCAATATACATGCGTATTGAAAAAGCACAACTATTAGAAACTGAAAACCATACTCACTTGGAATATATAAAAGGGAAATGAAAATTAAAGCTGAGTAATAATCAAACGACATATTTAAGTCGTTAGGCATTTCGTAGGAATACAACTTTCGCTTTGCAACATATGGTAGTGAGTAAATTATACAAAGTAGCTCGCCCTAAGAACCCAAAGAAATCAATTACGGTAGTTAAAAACTACAAGCATTTAATTAGACGTTGGTTGCTGTAAAGTACTTTAATCGAAACTCATTTTAGCATTGCTTGTATAGTGTATTTCGGAGCAGGTATGATATGTCCAACTTCACTTACCGAAACACCGCAAGGGTATAAAACGATAAAGAGTGTATACCTGTAAAAACATGCAAGCATTATTATTGGATATCGTACTTGAAGGTAAACTTAATAGTTATAAATATGTGAATAATAGCAATCTTTCTAATACAGTAGCTGAGAATTGTAAGTAAAATACGAGCAATAAAAGCAAATTTGGAAAGTATCTTTACCTCAGCCATGATAGTATATATGGTGCGAAACCAATTATATTGGTAGTATAATACGAATAACGGATGATTTCAGTTATAGTCCATGCCATCACCGCTAACTCGACTGCTATGGTATCTTGAATCTATAGTCATAAACAAGTATTCATAATTGTGAATTATCTTTGCAACCATGAACTCCTCCAAATATTTATTTTACAATTTCCATCAGATAGAGGTTAAGTCCGTTTCAATGTACTATAGTATATGTCATTACCACTTTAATACAATTTAAAGAATTGTTTCAATATTAAGATAACACGCATCGATAGGTTAACAACGTCTAAATGATAGCCAATGACAGCGAATGTTATTGTCAGTATGCAAGTATCCATATAATACAGCATAGCACTTACTTCTTTGACGCTTAGAATAACTCCCCAGTATATGATTAGGCGAGAAGCAACTTGGAAAGCTGTCAAAACAACATTTGCCCGAACCAATCCTAAACAGTGATGAAATTAAAAATCACCGTATGGCTTTGGTGCCAAGTAATTGAAGAGGTGCTAGATATAATGCAGACTTTCTCGAGCTTAACAACATCAAGATTGCGAATTTGGTTTCTCTTTCTCTATGGTCAATCCTACTTACCGATTGCACAATGGAATACCTAATTATGGAAAAGATAGAACTCGTTAGCATATTACCATGACGAAGAAAGCGTTGCTTGATTTGGGTCATGTGGACCTTTGCACTGCCTTGTAAAGACTGCAAACAGCAGATGTTTGAAACTAAGTTTAATTAATTCTAATTATTATTCCCTCACAGACAGTACTGTTGTCTCTTTTCATGCAGTCGATCGCTAATAAATCATCGATGCAAGAGGTACAGACAGTAATACTTTCAAATTAGCTAACTTTACTGCCATTAACAACTAGGAAGTAGGAATGAGAACTGAATTACGTCAATAAGAAATTCGTGTAGGCTATCCTAATCATGCTGCGACCAGCCTATGCAGCAGCGACTTGCAGGTCAATGGACCATGTCAACACTTTGCAAACTGACCTCTAAAATAGCAGCGCTTTGAAAGATCTTTAATATCTGATGAATTTCCTTATAAAAGCCATCCAAGCTACGATTTTGATGATAATGCTGACAAGTTTTGACTAAAATTGCCGACCATCTACATAATGCATAGGAAACAATATTCAATGGTAAGAAAGGATCAATGTATCCAATCAACCTCTTTCTACTCGTGCTATGATTGACTTGGCAAGTAGAAATCCTGTTCATTTAAGCCTCAAATCGTTTACCCGATTGTCTGCAGGACATTGTAAAGCAATAAATAAAAATTTCCAAGCATGCCTGGCCCTTTTCTTTTCGAAGCTTCTTCCGCCATCTTTGGTTAGTAATATCTGCAAGATTTATTTCAAATATTTCAGTTAAAATAGGGCGAAATGCTCAATTAGAGCTAGCATTCAACATTTTCTCCATCACAACTGTTGCCTCTTACCGTTTCATAAATTCGTCGTATACGAGCGTCGATGACACACGATCGCTTGGTGCTTTTAAATTCTAGCTCGAACATTGCTACCGGTACTATAGTACAGTATCCAACCGTGGAGCTAGACAGCGTGTACTGCTCCATACGTCAGGCAAGTGTCATACTGTAGATCACCTGATGCAAGCATACGATCCAGTCTGGTCTCGATTGTCTACAGTGTACAGTACGGTACAAGCCGATCTCTTGTACTGTGCACTCTAGTTACGGCCAGACGGACATTATGCCGTCGTGTTAAGAGAAAGAGACTACAGTTTCAACGATTTTCGTTGGCCAAAACTGCACAGGCGGACGATTTCGTTGCTTATTTTAACTATTCTGTTCATCGAAAACCGTTCTCTCTACTTTAGTGTTCTGTAGCTACCATTTTCGTGGCCAAAACTGTACAGGCGGACGATTTCGTTGCTTCTTTTCACTATTCTGTTCATCGAAAACCGTTCTCTCTACTATAGTGTTCTGTAGCTACCATTTTCGTGGCCAAAACTGTACAGGCGGACGATTTCGTTGGTTATTTTCACTATTCTGTTCATCGAAAACCGTTCTCTGTACTATAGTGTTCTGTAGCTACCATTTTCGTGGCCAAAACTGTACAGGCGGACGATTTCGTTGGTTATTTTAACTATTCTATTCATCGAAAACCGTTCTCTGTACAGTACTATAGTGTTCTGTAGCTACCATTCCCAAGTTAGTTAGCTCATAATACAGTGTACACTTTCAATCTTGCGATATAGGGAATACACTTGGCAATGTCAATACGTTGACGTTGACGACAAACTTTTACTGTATAACAACGTATACATAACTGTCAATGGCACCTTTCCAGTTAAAGATCCTGTTCTACACCGAGTAAAAATTTTTGAATCAGTTGATGAGTTGACAGAATTTACCAGCATCCTTGAGTATTATTCCATTGATATGATTGGTCAACTTACTGTATAGCAACGTATATATAACTGGCAATGGCACCTTTCCAGTTAAAGATCTGTTCAACACCAAATAAAAATTTTTGAATCAGTTGATCAGTTGACAGGATTTACCAGCATCCTTGAGTATTATTGCGTTAATAGGATTGGTTAACTACAGTATGATGTGTGTTTGGAAGTAATTCTAACATACAGAACTGTAAAGTCCGCGGCAAAATGGGCGTTTATACAGTATGATGATTAATTCAGTAAACTTGATTAAACTCCTTAATCAAAGAGACTAATGTCAAGTAGTCGATTATACGTACACTTCTAAGTAGATTATTGAATCGAAGTATCATTTTAGTAGTTCCATCAGTAGTATGAATCATTTTATTCACTACTTCTACATGCTCTCGACTTCTTATAAACAGCTATACTACACATTCTAGTGGATATCTCGCACGAGCTGATTGATGCTACGTATCAATGCGAGTAAGCCACAAATGGTATCTCGTTAGCAAATCGCCTGTACTGTATATATAGACTGTACACCATAACGTAAAAAATGTGCTACGGTAATGATAATAGAGTAATTAGGAAAGATACTTGCATCTATTGGCTATGCTCATTAAATGTAACTATGTCTATCTTTGTAAGCTAGAAATACATAGGCTTTGATACTTGAGTAATTGGGTAAGATACTTGCATATATTGGCCATGCTCATTAAATGTAACTATGTCTATCTTGTTAGCTAGAAACGCACAGGCTTTGATAATTGGGTAAGATACTTGCATCTATTGGCATGCTCATTAAATGTAACTATGTCTATCTTGTAAGCTAGATGCACAGGCTATGATACTTGAGTAATTAGCAAAGATATTTGCATCTATTGGCTATGCTCATTAAATGTAACTATGTCTATCTTGTAAGCTAGATGCACAGGCTTTGATACTTGAGTAATTGGGAAAGATACTTGCATCTATTGGCTACGCTCATTAAATGTAACTATGTCTATCTTGTAAGCTAGAAATACACAGGCTATGATACTTGAGTAATTAGGAAAGATATTTGCAGCTATTGGCTATGCTCATTAAATGTAACTATGTCTATCTTTGTAAGCTAGAAATATAACAGGCTATTGTACTGTACTATGTAAAATATAAATGAGTGTATCATGACTACGACAGAATTCCTATAGTCGGATTAATGATACGTAAGTTTTGAAATATCATAATACGAATACATCCCGAAAAATTTAATTTCTACCGCCAAAATATTTATTGCAAAGGGAAGAAATAATTAATAAGGTTTACCAAGTGCTGACTCTAGTCAAACATTCATCATTTACATATTGCTTCTCAATACCGGATACTGAAATCATAAATTCTTTTATTACAACAATTTGTATAGAAATACCTTCCTAAAAATTGTTCATCTGTCACGGTCGAGCTTGAGAATGTCGATGTGTTACAGTTTTGTAAGTTTAAAACGTTAATTCTATGCGAAAGGCTTATAATTTTGCTATTTGTTAATGCTTATATTATTCTTAAGTAATTAACTATTATCTAAGGTTAAGTAAAGTCATGTTTGAAACATTTTGGATGAGTTATTGTTGTGTAATTGGATAACTCATCTAAAGTGTTTAGGTAGGTTATCATGATCTAAAGCTTTCCGAAAATATGAAATTGGTTTAGTTGTCGATGAGAAAGTTTATGTTTACTTAATAATAAACTTACTTAGTTACCGTGCACGCTTATTGGCTGTTTTTGCGTCAGATTTAGAGGATACTACTGTAGTCACAGAAACTATCTAGTACTTAGTTGTCTGGGGTTTGTAAACGCTCAGAGATTTAGTTAACTACTTTAATTTGCATAGTTCAATCAGAGGGACGATTGAGTTATCTATTGGTAATCGTTCCTGTAGTATTCGTTAGTCGTTTATGTTGCAATATGGCAGGATTACTGTACAGGGGTTAATCATTCTTAATGTGAATTTCAGAATATGATGCAAACAATAATACTAGTAACACTGAGGATAAAAGGCCAACCCAACCAAACATTGTTATACCGTAAATAGAAAATAAGTACGAAGCAATTGGAGGACTAATAAGTCGAATTCCGAATTCAACAGTAGCTATCATGCCAATCATGGAACCACTATCACTTTCCGGAGCAAGACTTGTAAGGCAGCTACTTAAAATAACTTGAAATGTATCTGTTCCCATTGCAAGCAAGAACATGGCCAGGCAATACGGGATAAGGTTTGTTGTAAATGCCTTTCAGATAAAATAAAATAAAAATAAATGAAGAGACACAACTATTGCAATAAATTCAATAGCATTAATTTATACATTTGAATTTAGATTAAAAGCTATTATGCATTGAAATATATTTATCAGAAATGGTTAGAAAGTTGGATCCGTACCATGATAATGTAGATAATAATCAATGACATTGAATCGTATTTCAAAACGGTGTATTGAGAATATAGGTCTGTTATATAACCAACGAAAAATCCCTGTACAATCTATAAAACCGCAGTAAATACATTTCATTGAAACGATAGAAAGGCATAAATCAAACGTCCAATAATTAAGCAGAAGTAACCTTACCGTTGTTAATACTCCAAGATAAGCTAGCATTAATCCATTTGCTTGAGCGCCCAAATGAAAGTGATCCATTAAGATTAAGCTTATCACTGATTGTATTAAACCGAGTGGAAGGAAACTAACTAGCTTTAATACCAATAGGAACAATACGTGAGGATACGCTAGTAATCGAAATGCATCCGAAATACTTGTAGATGAGCTTTTTTTGCTTTTTTCTACGTACAATAGTTGTCAAAACAACCGTGATTGTGAAAAAAATTAATCATACAGTCTCTAATATAGTCTTAAGGTGTTCTATAGTCTGAAATACGAAATGTTATGACGATAAGAATATTCACTGTCAAGACTTTTTCTTTAAATTAAAATATCGGCTTAATTTACTAACCTTTCTGTTCATCTTCAGAATTTCCCAAATACATCTTGGTATTCTTTGGAATAAACATCATAGTAATCATTACGTGTAGAACAGCCCCAAAAGCCGATATCATTGCGGTAGTTTGTTCTCCATAACTGGCTTGAATCCATCCACCTAGAACTGACCCGACCAACATACCAAAGCCGAAACACATTCCAACTTTACCTAAAGCATCTGGACGCTCTATAAGTATATATATATATATACACATATAGGACTATTTTATTCAAAATTTTGTGAAATCGCTATTAAATATTACACTGTAATGTAAATATTAAGGTCAACATGGAAATAGTAATTTCAAGCAATTATTTAACAATTTTAAGCCCAATACTAATACCATTCACAGCATTTGCTAACCTTTTGGATCAGAAACATCGGATGCTATCATCTGGTGAGCTATATTCATTCAAATAGTTAAATGCAATCATTGATTGGTCGTTTTTGCTTAATTTTTTTCCGAACTAGGGCATTTAAACTGACTTTAACTATTATATACGAGTGTATTAATCAAAAATTAAAGTACTGTAGTCAAAATGAATACAGTAACTCTATGTAAAATTAACTACAATTCCACTATTTATAGCAGTATATGATCGATAAGCTTCAGATTATTTTCGGTAGTTTTACAGTAATGAGTAGTCCTCTAAAATTACATTTACGGTATAGCAAAATAATTATCAATTGAAGACACTGTTACGATATCTAAATTACGAGACACAAATATCTACTTATAAGACAGTGTAATATTGTATTCTAAGTTGATGATATCTTTAGTAATGTCTACCGTAGTTATTGTGTTCAAGGTTTGATAGATATTCCGTTAGAGGCTTAAGTATTAAATATAGCTAGCTTAGCTGTATCCTTTTGAAAAGGAGTGCTCACACTAGAGCTTCACAAGAAAGGTGTGAACTATCCTGTATTTGAGATGCTAATATTGAAGTGTGTAGTAAGTAAGGTGCTAAGATTATTAACGTGAAAAATATATAAGCGAGTAGTTTAATACAGTAAAATAGTTCTTTCTCGTTAGAGGTCCTCAACTGATCGATTACGTTGTATCTTTGTAAACGAGGTTTTGTTCAATAAATCTTAATTTTCTAAAGTGTTGAAGATGCTTGATCTATCAACCTCATAATACTCTATGTTGTGGAAATGCTGAGAGATGCAATACATTGATATTCATTCCACCGAATACTTAGTACTGTATATTATTAGTTAAAAAGCTAGTAACAAGGTTTTATGTTTAAAGCATCATCGTATTGTACTGTAAGCACGTATTACGCGAAATTCGATTGTAGCTTTTGTACCTGGTAAGCCATGAGCTAAACATAACGCTATCTGTGATAGAAACAAGAGGTATTTGCTGCTTGCGAAAGCTACCATTAGGTAATAGCATAAACTCGATAAGTCAGCAATAATGACAGCATAACGTGCTCCATAATGATCAGCAATGCGTCCAAATATAGGGGAGCCGGTAAACATAGCAGCTGCTCCAATAGTTTGCAAATATCCGAATTGTATTGCATCCATGCCAAGTTTCTTGGATAAAAACTAGAATACGCGCGATATATTCGTAAGTAAATATTTTAATAATGCTTATCAATAATGCAGTTGCAATTCTCGAAAGTACAGGTTTCTTACAGTCTTATCCATGCACAAATCTAGGCTCAGAATCTCTATCAAACAACTACTCTACGATCTGTAAGCTAACTGTACACCTTCTACTGATAGCAGTGTAGCCGATAATATAATTAAGAGCTAGTTACAGTATTAAGATTAAGCTATAGCCATGCCCGTTAAGGTAATTTTAAGTATCTCTATCAAACAACTACGCTACGATTTGTAAGCTAACTGTGCACTTTCTACTGATAGGACTGTAGCCGATAATCAAGAGCTAGTTACAGTACAGTATAACGATTAAGCTAATTGGTATTTCCTGCTTGTATGATTAAAAACTCAATATACGAGTATATTCATTGTACAGCACTGTATATTGCTAAATTTAAAAGAAGAAAATAGACTATACCGGTGAAACAGATAACTGGATAAAAAATGCCATAGAGGAGAGAAAGGCACTGGCATGACAGCTTTGCAAACAGCGAGTACGAAATTGCTTTAACGCGTGTTGATCCATAAATTCTAGATTCTATTGCTTGATTGAGGTTGAATTGGCAATACTTAAATTACGGCTATGATGAACGATTGGAAAAGGTGCTCGCGAACATGCAAACAAATTCTTAATGGATGATCGACTCTTACATGTACTTTTAGTGATCGCATCAGCTCCTAGATTGATGTCTACAATAATATAATTGCTTGTCCGATATACACTTTTATCAGCTCTCTGTCTTCTTTTAGTTGTATAAACTACTTACAATATGAATGCATCATCCCAATGCTGATCTGCAAAATTCCTGCAAGTCGAAATACATAGGCAATAGTTTGGTTCTTATAGTACTATTCTTCAGGCATGCTTCCATGACATTAAGAAACGTTTGATCATTGGCCGGATCCCCCCACTCAAACAAAAGAAACTAGGCGATTAGGCCAATGAGCAAACGCTTCTTGTTGACTTTGTAACTTCAGTATGTCCTCCTATTTTTATTTTTGAGATTGGTATCTTTAACAAATAAATAATAATATTAATATTAAATATACAGTACTGTATATTCGTATTTATTAGACAGTGAAGACACTTGGACTTTGACCCTTTTCGACTAGAGCGGTGTACAAGGGAAACAGTACTGTTACGACAGTCTAGTACTGTATATTGAAAGAGAAGGACAGCAAACGATCGTTCATAATTTGCAATAAATTATGCTAACCATACAACTAAGGTTCAGTAACTAAAACCTTAGGTAAACAATAACAGTTTGAGCCGCAGTATCCAAGTCAGAAGTGAATTCAAGTCGAGGATCATCATTATTCTGACCCGAAGCATGTGAGCCACACTGATCTTAATGAACAATAATATTTTTGAAAGGGAGGGCATTGCACAGTTGTGGCTTGTAGGCTGTTTTTGAATCAAGAACGAAGAATGCTAAAAATGTGCAACTGACTACTGATTTTATTTTGCTAGTCATTTCAACTGAAATTAGTTTTGTCTTTAGATTCAGTTTTGCAGAATTCACACATGGAATTTTTTCCTCTACAGTACCGCTATCAACTTGGAATGCTTACAGTACTGTATATTTTTACGTGTATATGCAAAACGTTATAGCTTATTCAAGTGCCTAGCTATGTGCTTTAAATCTAGCAGCGAGCTAAGCAGTAAGTACTTCGTTTGACTAAGGTGAATGAAAATACGGTTGGACACTACTAAGCAATATTCATTTTTAAAATGAATGCATGCATAGCACCTTTTAGCACTTTACTGCTGTAATCCGACTAGTGGTTAAATGAATGAATAACTCGCATTTCGTACGCTTTAAAATTAGCAATATTCGCTCATGACTTGAACGTCAAAAGTGAAATTATGATTACCACATGTGAGCAGAATCAAATCATTTTCTGTTGTAACTTAGTGTCTTCAGTACAAGAACTACAGTACTGTACAGTAGACTCCAGGGATATTTCACCTTAATTTTACAGTACTGTAAAATTACTGTAAGAAATTTTCATTTAGTACTGTAGCAATTTTGGACTATTGACAGATTTTACGTGAAATTAGGACAAATCTATCCAAATAAAAGCCAGATTTACATCCCTGAGTTATTGGCCTACGTCTACATACAAGATTGATCTACTTTAGGCTTGGTTTAGCCTACACAGTTTATTTTCCTTAGTGCCACCAAAGTTAATCCAGTTGTAATTTACAGTGTACAGTAAGTAGTACTGTACCTGCATCACCTGTATCATACTGTACAAATACTTACAGAGTTACAGTAGAAGTCCCAGCCTGCTAGTATCAGCCTTCAACGTCCCAGTTGCCATGGAAACTGGAAATAAAGAGTTGATACTCATAAATAACCAGCGAAGGAAGATGGCTGCCCAGGTAAAAGCTTCTCCGTTACAATTTCTTTTAAAATGGTGTTGGTCGTCGTATTGCTATTCTATAGACTATATTTCTATCTGTTTCATACATGCCAATTGTCGAGAATGAGTTACTGTTATGAATTAACAGATTATGACATGCATTAAAGTACACCGAGCAAATGTTTGAACTCCAAATTTAAACCTATTGAAATAATGTTCAATATTATAGCCAGCTTCATGCTTCCATTAATGTATAAATATTAATGTATAAAGAACTTCGAGTACACTACATGCGCGTATTTCATAGATTAACACTTCAGTCTAAGGAATAAGCCTAGTTCTGTAGTATTGTAGTATACAGTATAATAAGTACTTTACTTAACATAGTCTAAGCTAACGTATAGTTGATGGATAAATCGGAGAAAAGCCACTACGAAAACTCTCCCATAATCTAGATTTACATTTCTTTTAGGCGTCCAATGTTAAATTACCATCACTAAATAGGCAAAGAAAGTATAATGATGATAGTGATGATGAAGCAGTACCTGTAACACGTTTTCGTCCAAAGAATCGTAAAAAGATCAAGCCTTCACAATGGAAGAAATTAACCGATTTGGAAAAAAGTCGTTATATGGCAGTAAGTGCTACTATCTTAAAGTTAACATATCTGCTTTATTCTGTCGAATTATAGGAATCTAAGTTCAGAGTGTTAAACGTATTGATCTTGTGATCAATAAAAATTGTGACACTTATTTAATATATGTATGTATGCGATCGATACATCAGTTTCATTTATTTTTAAATTGCTTTGCTCTTCCTAAGTATGAACCCCCAACCAAAGAGGCCTTAAAAAGTCAAAAAGAGTCTATTAAACGAATTAGAGATGCCAAAGCAAAGTTAACTGCGTAAGAGAGAAAATTGAGATGTACCGTCATCAATTATAAGTATAACTTGGAGTTGCACTCACTGTATCGAATTACTACTTTGTTAGCATCCGTCAGTTTGAACAATCGCAATTTGACGAAGAAAAAGAAAAGCATAGCCAACTCATAGGACAATTAAAGTAATTATCGTTGTAAATATACATACTCTTCTAGTACTATATCTGCAATTTCACGAAAATTTCAATATTGATATGTTTACGAATAACTACTTGTTTATTAAACAGAGCTGCAGAGGCTAGAAACAGACTAAGACTGATGAGAATTAGATATGAAAATAACCGGGTATTAACCATGATCATAGTGTTATTGTGATGATCTATGTATAATACTTATAAATCTGCCTTTATTCTCATTGTAATTATTAGGAAGCTGAAATGAATCATCTTATTGCATGTCAACCGACGTCATTGCGGGCAATTCGATTACAAACTTTAGTTCCACCTCGACCAAAACCTACTCAATTTGATGATTTACTTGATAAACTGGAGGTAAAAGTTTTGGAATTACATTTAAAGCAACAGTTAATCATTTGTAATGACATAATGCAGATTTGTAGAATGAACTAATTCTAACCTATTAATATCAACGTTTATAACAGAGAGTTCGAGTGGAAAATATCATTGAAGATGATCGAGAATTAACAATAACAAGAGAATTAACGAGAGCAATATAATATCGATAAATACATTGTACTGCTTCCCTTTTTATGGATAGTAGTAACAATTGTTGTAAATATCTGACAGATATTTTGTCATTTTATATTACATCGGGTAATATCTATGTATAGTTATTATGAATGATAGCTACCGGTTCGTGTAATATAATATACCCAATTTTACAATAATGTTTTTGTATACAAAGAATTTTTTTCATTGTATATTCCTAGAATATATTTTAAATATAACTTTTAATGTACAGCTAAGTATAAACGATATGGAATTATCAATATTGTGCCGTAAGAAAATATGAAAAGTAATGAGTGTAACCCTGTTAAATATTTACAAACAGAATTATGATGTAAGATGTGCAAAGTGTACAGTAATGGTAGCACATAATTATATTGTAACTGAGGTTTTTTCAGCATTATGCAAAGCATATTGATTTTAGTGAGTAATTTTACTAGGTTTAGCTTTAGATGATGTAGAGTGGATATGTGAACCTTAATAAGAGTTGATATCATAGAGATTGCTATATAGTGCGGAGACCAGAGTGTAGTTTACCAACGTGAAGGTAGTTTTGTCGAACTAAAAATAGTAAGATTTATCTCGATAATTGCTGATATCATGAAACCTTAATAAACTATTTATTTCGGATTTAATTAAACAGCGTGATTAATTTTCGAAAAGCAATTACGTCTATTGAAATTATCAGAAGTTGAACTCTTTAACAAAAACTACCATAGACGACCCCTAAATATTTTCATTACATTTTGCAATGACTTAAAATTGTTGTTGCAATACAGTACATTAATTGAATTTTACTAAAACACGTTCCCGTCCTATCGCCTTGGAAGAAGTCTGATGCATGATTCTTTCATGAAGAAATTTAGTATGGATTGTAAATATCATTATGCTAGTAAAGTTTTCAAGTACAGTATATGGTGCAGTTTCATGGTATATATACATTTTGTTAAAAATATACTGTTCTGATAGGTACATTACAATTATTAATTATAGGAGGAAGTTTAAAAGTAATACTCTGTGCGTAAGCGGTATCTCAAGCTTTGGTTACAAATGTATGTACTGGCTAACAAACTGTATAAGAGATATTTATTAAAATGAATTTCTAACTGTTCATAGGAAGTATTTCTAAACGTTATCTGCATACGTAGCTTATGACTTGTAAGTGAGGACATCAATAATCTAAATATCAAACTACAGTTAGCAATTCTATGCGTCCTTTATTAGCTTTAATATGATAAAACGCATCTTAGAGTATTACAAATGATAGTCATATTTTCAGCTCTTTCACACTGTTTTAGGGTATTGCTTACAAACGTCTATGTATATTTTCTGTATATATCAACGCTAAGAATATTGAGCAACAATAGCGATTTTATGCCATAACAACTTTAAAATTGACAGATCCGTTACATATATTGATAGGCAATGCCACAGATAGGTGATCAAAGAACGTCACCAGTATGCAACAGGGTAAAATAGAAATATTTAAATTGTAATGAATTGTCATTTCCCAATAATTTACTTCTTGGCAGTTACGCCTTGCTTTTCATTTTCATTAGGAACCTGCTTTCCAAGATACTCCCTACGAAAAGTTTATACAGTATCAAATGATCAAGTTATAACAAATCTGTAATTTACTGCATTGATGTAAGATGTAGTAAAATCAATCAACGAGCACAAATCTATCACAGACTAAATATATAATCATAGCCTACCAATGATGCACCATCAATTTCTGAACAGCCAAAAGTGCTTCGTATCGCACTTGTTGATCAGAATGTGTCATCAGTTGCATTACACGCTCTTTACCACCGAATTTTTCAATCACCCTGAGAACAACAACACTTTGGGTGTCACCGGCTAGGATATCATACAGTGTTCTGCTACAAGGTTTATAGTCATTAAACAAGTAAATCATAATATAGAACATACCTTTTTCCAGCACCATAATGACGGACATATTCTCCAATGTCGTGAGCTGCGATTGCTAAAACTAGAGGATCTCGGCTATCTGATAGTAGTTGTAACAAGATCCTGTAGGTAATGACAAATTATTTGTAAAGATTAATTACTATTCGATTGTCGGAAAAAAATCTTGACTTTTAAATTTACTTACTTTAATATTTCGTAATTGTTTTCATTTAGCATAGAAGCATTCTCTCGCTAAGAATAAAGTATAAATTATGCAATGTTTAAAATAGGATTTCGCGTAAACCTATCTCATTTGTGACTAGACTATGCTTTTAACTAGTATATAAGTATATACCCAAAATCGCTCCGAACGATGTACTGGGCTCCATTCTAAATGGCCAGACTTTACTTCTCCAGCATACTCGTCAAAGGTACTAATAGAGGAAATCAATGGTTAATACTGTCTTATCATCATCAGACATAACTACAACTATACTCTACATTTTCGAAATTACCTTAAGAAATTAAGATTCATTGACAGTTTTTCATGAATGAAGTCGATATCGTCCTGAAGAAGTAATCTAATATTATAAGCTGCTAACTCCGGCTAAAAATGAGTTCCATAATGTATGAATATAGTTAGTTTATCGTTTGCATCCTACCTTAATATCACTGTCAGCCCAATTCTTATTTTCGAGAACAATCAACATCTAAAATCAAAAAACACCAGGCATATCATCGCAGGTAATATTAACTTAAAAGACTATACAATATTATAGATTAGGCATGGCACTTATTATAGGTGATATAAAACAGCGCTTGCTTCGATAACGTAATGAGACGGCGCTCTATACTAGAATTCCTGACTCACCGATATAACTTTTGAGTGAATCATTGCAAGAGCATTTCCTTGTACTTCAGAAGGAGAAGGCTTCTCTAATAAATTCTGTAGACATTTTAGAAGTAAAACTATTAAATTGCGAATATGCCCGCATAACCTTCATCGATATACATATACTGTACGAGGTGTTTTTGTTTTAATAGTGAGATCAGGTTGCTTTAGCTTACTCGTAGAGTTGCCAAGACAATTCTGGTTACTTTTTCTTTAGAAGAATCACGCAAAATATCGGCAAGCACTGGAATTACGTTATGCCTATTAATTACATTATTATTATAGAACATTAGTACAAATTGTCATTCCTTAACGGTAAGCAAATCAAACAACTTACTCATTCATTTTGGTAGCAATTAAGGGATTAAATGCTAACAACCACAAGCAATGAGTAATTTGATATTGCAGCTGAAAGCTAACTTTTGTATTTAAAAGGTCAACAAGCCTAATAAAAGGTGATCATTTTCAGTTTACAAGGCTAAATGATAAGCTTTGTTTTGACAGTATGAATTTACCCTTTAATTCCATGAGTTTTCACAAACGATAAACGATAGTCATCTACACGGAGTATAGTTTGCAGGACATTAACAACACTCTGCAAGTAATCATTTCCCTGAAGAGGAGCAATAATAGACTTGATTAGTCAGTTATGATTCCCTAGTTTTAACCGAGTTTATGAAGAAGGAGTTATAATGTGGATGAATAGAGCATTACCAGTACAGTTAATTGATTATTTAACCAGGTTAGATAGAAGTTTAGGTCACTTCCTTGTAATCTAGCGCTGCTAAAAGAGGCTAACTTTGCCATAATTCGGCTAGACTGTAAATTGAGTAATTATATAAGAAAAATCAAATTAGTCAGGTATCGGATTGATTTTAGATTTAACAGCACGAGTAAAGTTGTAACATTTGTGAAACTATTACCATATGCACTGTAAAAATATCTTGACGGTTAAGCAGATTTAAGAATGAAGACCATAATTGTGCGCTTTTATTTCTATATAAATTAAGATTGTTGAAAATATTAGTAAGACTTTTACTAAAGAGGTTCAAATAATACTATTTTGCGTTCGAGCAGAAAGTGTAGGTAATAGAATTCGCTTACACTTCAGTGTATTCGTGGAAGAGTTTAACACGTGATTTATCTTCCTATAATATTTTTAGTCAATAAAAAGTTCATTTAAATAATGATAGAAACAACATTTAATACCCCTAAAAAAACTGTCGTATTTGTATTAACCTCAAACATGTCATCAATCAGTGTTAGTATATACTGAACAGTTTGATCCTTTGAGATTCGACTAATCAGATTAATAAACGTTTTAGGGCACTGCCATAAAAATAATTGCAAAAGAAAGTAGTCGATTAGTTGAAATTTTGTTATTGCCGTCGCTATCACGGGTTCATATTATGATAAGAGAACAGCCATTCAGTGGCTTTGATAAGTATACCTCCAACTTTGAGTTTTGGATGAAAGCATCGCGTTCTTTGGGAGCCTCTTTCAGTTTATCAAATTCAACAATAAAATTATAATCCGATTCAGTAATCATTTGGCACCTGTAATCAAAAAAATATTAGCTCCGTGTTGAAATGCTAGAGTGCGATAAGATCAAATGAATTCGATGTTCTGTAATATCATTCAACATGTACTTACTGCAGATACGATTGCCAGTTAATAAAAACACCTCTAATTTCTGCAGCTTGCATCATTAGCTTATCCTGAGCTTGGACGGCTAATAAGATCCAAAAATATACAATAAATGGTAATGAAAGCTTATTACTGTATTTTCTTCTAAGTGATAACGATACTAAGACTACTCATAGTTGATTACCTTGTTGATCAGCAGTCTCAGTTTCCATACCAACGGAACTGATGACCGTGTCCAACTGTTTATATTCCGCCGTAGACATGTTGACAAATCCTGTTTGTTGATCTTTAACAACTTTTGATGATGGAAACCCACCCGAAATAGGTGTTACTATAAGAATAAAATACGTTAGTGCATGGCAGCTCAAAGTTATTGTCGCTTAGGTAGGTAACTGATAGCATAATCCATTTCAAATGGGAAATCGATTGCCTTGCATTCACTTTAGAATTTACATTGCGCCCATTATAGACGGCTCTGTATCATGCTATGTAGAAGAAAAACTTTTTATACTTTGTATCCTGCTTCCTGCGATCATTTTTGACTCCATTAACTATCTGTACTACGTCTTCAAAATTGCTGGCTTGATAACAATAAGTAATAGTAATTTATACTATCTTCACAAAGTAACTAGTCAAGATAGTTGATATCTATGAATTAGGATAAAGCCAAACTGCACGCCATGTTCCCTACGTTTTTATGACATTACCGGTAGATGCATGGTGAAATATACAAGAGGATTGGATAGTTTAAAGGTAGTTGTTCAAATTTCTACCTATTTCGAACTGAGAGTGAAAAGTGATCGTTTGTGATGATCTTGTAACGGCATTCTTGGTAGGATATTGCATGCGATTGTTTCAATGCTGTCCAATCCATTAAGACTGATATTACCATTACTTACAGTCCCATAACATTATCTATGCAGATTATACGACTGATAGCAATCATCTTAATTGATACTACGCTGGACAAATTGAGCATTGATTAATTCTATTATATAGCACTACGTTTATAAATGAATTGTATTGGTAACATACTCTTACTTGTTGTCAATTGATTTGTATCAATAATAAAAATGACATTGAATATTCGATAACCAATATTATCGATGAATCTTAAATAAGATGTGATTCCGGCAGACTACATGACTTATCGTTACTGGACAAATTGAGTATCTAATGATTATACTATGTAGCATGATGTTGGATGGACATGAGTTGAATACTATAAAAATGATTCGACGATTAGGCCATATGCTCAATCTGTACGGCTAACTAACATCCATTTCAAAATGTGAAATTGTGGATGTATCAGTGTTACGACCAAGTGCAATGATTGAAATAGAAAGAGCTCGTTACAATCATTACGATATCGTACGATTGTCTTAACCAAGCTAAAGCTTTGGTTAATACAATCGTTTGGACGTTGGATGATGCTATCGTCAAGTAATTTTTCATCCAAGATGATGAAATTGATCAAGATATGGACCCATATGGCCCCCCTCTTGTCCAGAATGATTTGATCAAAGCAACGATCGATTCTTATTTGATGCAAATAATGGATCACTCGTTGGTATCTTTCTCGAACTGGCTAAGAATGAATAGACAGATCGATAGGCTCTTGATCGATACGACATGAAGTTTTAAGCCATTCTATCTTGATATCAATATTGTATAGGAATGATATTCAGGCAAGAAATGGAAGTGAAATTGCTGCAATCGATTTGTCTAGCAACCAACTTCTCCTACTATCACTGACTCCCTTGTACGAGAGTAGTTGGACTGCGTCATCCAACTGCTCAATCCAGTTTGCTATGGTAGTACTCTATCATCGATGGATACTACACTATACGGTATGACAACGACTGCTTTTGGTGACATGGTACTGTAGCGTAGGCAAGGGGCTTGGCAGGACAATAATACAACTATTATAGCATCATCCATCGGCCGTATTTTTCCCCTTGATGATGAAATGAAGGCAATATGATTGAAAAAATGCAATTGTAATCGCATTAAAGGTATCATTTTATGCAAGAATATGCTTCTATTGCTTACTCCAATCTACTTACGGAATTGCTGTTGCTGCTGGTTGCCCACCGAAGCAAGAGAATTAATTCCAGCACCAGCTGCAGCACCGAATGTCACTGCAACGTCGAATGCGATGAAATTCATGTGATAAAGTGAAGGAGAGAAATCACGTGATGGTCAGCTTCAGCCAGGGGGCTTCATCCAACTCAGTATTCACCCGCAGTACAGTACAGTAGTTAGTCGTCTCCAGTTTACAGTATGCGTACTGTACTGTAAGGTAGAAACCTTATGTTATAACAGTCAGAACAGTACTGTACTGTGCCGTATGGTGCAAGTACTGTACTGTACGGTCTAATCCTTAAAGGATGTCACCCTCATCTTGCTATCCTTGCCATTGGGGACTACTATGATGGTAGGATTGAGGTGACACTTACTGTGCCATTTACAGCATTTATGTTAGGGTACAGTACTGTACACCGTACTGTACAGTACAGTATAAAACTACCGTATGGTGCAAGTGCTGTACTGTCCAGTCTAATCCTTAAATGACGTCACTGTCATCTTGCTATCCATGTCATTGGGACTACTACGACAGTAGGGTTGAGGTGACACTCATTGTACCATTTTACAGCCTTTATGTTAGAACAGTCATACTGTACACTACTGTACTATACTCAGTGTACTGTACCGTATGGTGCAAGTGCTGTACTGTCCAGTCTAATCCTTAAATCATGTCACTCTCATCCTGCTATCCTTATCATTGGGACTACTATGACAGCAGGGTTGGGGTGACACTCATTGTGCCATTTTACAGCATTTACTGTACTGTACTATACAGTGTACAGTACTGTACATTCAGAAAGCGAAGTACTGTAGACAATTGTACTCTACTCAGGCTACTAAAACAAACTCCGCGCTCGAAAAAATGGATCCCTATTTCTTTTTCTTTTTTTTGCACTTCTGCTTACAAATTATACTGTACGACGTATCAGAATCGATAGTATAGAATTCATCAATTGAGTAGAAATAGAATTAGAACCATACTGTACAATAATCAAGCTAGCAGCTTATTGGGATGGGAATCGGTAACAGCGCAGTGTATCGTTTCAGACATACGCTGCAGCTGAGCTGACCAGCAATAGCGTCAGCTTCATCACTTTGAACATACGGTACTGAACGGCCTCGGCTAATGGCTGGTATTGGCCATCTCGTTCCACATAGCATAAAATTTCCAAATGCAACTAAAATGTTCATTACATATTACTTGGAGAGAACGTCAATGTACTACGTTCATTGAAAGGAAGTTTTTAGTTCTCTTTGCGCATTTCAACTCCTTTTAATAAATAGTAAAAGTTAGCTGAATCAAGCAATACAGTAAGTCGCCGGTTATTAAGCCCAGAAGCCCAGCCGCGTATTAAGCCCAAAACGGCATGGTACGGAATTTTACATACATAGCAAAATCCGCCGGTTAATAAGCCCAGCCGCCGGTTATAAAACCCAGTTCGCCAACAGATTATAGCGAGATTCTCATCTCTCTGCACCCCAGCGCCTGAGAAACCAGTTGTACGCGTACATAACCAAGCACTACACATATATATGTTCGTATGCGTATGTATAGTGCTTATCCTGCGTTTGCGTTTGCACTCCGGTTATTGCGCCCGCCGCTTATTAAGCCCAATTTGGTCTGGGCCCGAGGTGGGCTTAATAACCGGCGACAGCTGTATTAATCATAATTTCCCTGTTACAGCTACGACAGTCAATCAATCGATCGAATCTGTTTTAATACTGCAATAATAATTGCTGCCTATCTAGCCAGCCGGTAATCCATCAACCGGTATAAAATTACAGCTGAAGGCTGTATCCATCATAAAAATGACAACTTGTTGAGTAATGTAATTTGAAATTCAATAGCAGCGAGTCAGTTGAGTATGTTGATGTTATAAATTTGCAACAGGAAAAAGTTAAAACTATTCTACAAATTACACTATGAACCTACGGTCAACTTTATCCTCCTTAATATCTACCCACAGTACGACTCTAAATACTGACGATCTCCTATCGTCAGGAGCAACGATAATACAACGCTAGTCTCTCTGAGACATAACTGAATTCAAACATTAACGAAAAGTCAGCCAATTTGTAGAAAATCTGTATAAACTTTAGTGATCAGAGCTTCGATAATATTATAAAACTAGGCAGTTATCTATTAAAAGTATGTATAATGTCATAGATAACGGTATGTTATCCGATAAACATCAATAAAGTGTTTTGTAGGAAAAGCCACTTTCGTGATAGTTATCAAGATACTTTTCCCAGCATTTGCAATACAAGATAGTCATTTTTGGATTTGAAATGGTATTTTTGCCTGAATTGAACTAAATTTAAAGTAGGTTCGACTGATGATATCTAGTTAATGTATCAGAAATACCGTATGATACTGTAAATTCTTCATACGAGTTAGTAACATTTTATTTATTAATTTACAGTTAGATTGAATAATACGCGTCTACCATCTTTGAATAATTAGCTTCAGTGTAGGAGACAGTAATCTTCCATTGCAACACATGTCAACAGCTAGGCATTGAGTTATGGTAAGGTAATCTAGACAATCATTCTAACTCATGAAATCTTCTTATACAATAACTTTCAGTACAATGATAAAGATTTTATATAAAAGTTTGATTCTGTTAACAACAGTAATGTTTTTTTAACTGACTGTATTTGGGCAAAAATTTGATACCTTTGCAATCCCTGCATTCTAAGATTGTTTAGCATACAACTAAATCTGCAAAAGGTGAGTATCTTAACTTGTATTATTATTAAATCACAAATGGTCTGCTATAATGCAGCTTCATCATTGATAGTCGGTATTATCACCTTTTGAAGAATTGAGTGGGATAATTAGAGACTCTTCTCTACAGACATGTCCTAATTGAGCGCCAAGATTGGATAAAAAATTTAAAGTCAGAATTCGAATTTGATATAGACTTCAGTTCTGCATTTTGTAAAAAGATGAATTTTGTAACTGAATAAAGGAAAT